TGGTGATGGTGGGTGTGGTAAGACTTCCGGCCCCCGTCAGCGTGGTCTGAGCAGCAGACACAGTGATGGCAGTGGGATTGATCACTTGGCTTGAGAGGGTGGCAATGGTGCCCAAGGTGGTGATGGGTGTGGCCAGGGAGGCACTGGTACTGTGGCCCCCAGCTCCCGCGAGGCTGGTGGAAACGGTGCCAGTCATTGTGCCTAAAGTTGTGACGCCTAAAGGCAGGGAGGCAGGATGGAGATGAGGCCCGCTGCTGGCACTTCCTTTCCAGCAGTTTCTCAACCTGGACGGGGCTGGGGGCACTGGGAACTCTAGAGTGCCCCCACCAGGAACAGAAGACTCCAGAGAGGGCACCTGCACCCTCCCCCAAGCCTCTGATGGGAGGTGGACCCAGAAAGAATATGCAAAGCAGCTACACACCTGTGGTGCCCTTCACAACCAGTGTGGTGACTGCCGGCTTGACGGCAGAGACAGTGACAGGGGTGACCAGGCGGACGCCCATGGGCATGGTGCGAAGAATGGTGCCTGGCTGTCCAGCGGCCCCCTTTAGCACCACCTAGAATGCCAGGGAAACCATCCCAATATCACTCATAGGTTGGCTGGATCCCATGCAGCCCCCTTCCAGGACCCTCAGGACATGTGGCCTGCTCAGGTCCTAGACTGAACAGTGGAGTGAAGAGGGCCAGGCACACCTCACCTGAGTCACTCCTTGCTGCCCGTGGCCAGTGGCAATTTTGGGGACAGCAGTGATGATTTTCGCAGGTGTTCCAGTTCCTGAAGTCATAACCTTGGTGGTGATAATGGTGATGGGGGACTTGATGCCAGGACTGCTTGTCACACCTACACAGGAGAGGGGCTTCAGGCTGGGCTCCTGAGGCCCCACCAGTGCCAGCTCCCACATCCCATTTCCAGTAGTTACTCTTGATGCCCCTCACTTAAAATGATGGAGTGCCACCCTAGCTCAGTGGCTAGAGCGAACTGAAGGGTCCGGGTTCAATTCCGGTCAAGGGCATGCACCTCAGTTGCAGGCTCAATCCCCAGGCCTGGTGGAGGTGCAGGAAACAACCAATCAATTGATGTGTCTCTTTCATATCAATGTTTCTCTCTGTCTCTCTCTCTCCGTCTCCCTTCCACTCTCTCTAAAAATCAATGGGAAAATGTTCTCAGGTGAGGATTAACAAAAAAGACCACCAAAACAATAAAGTGCCAATTAAAGCCACACTCTGATACCTCCCTACAAACCTTAAGCAAAAGGCAAGGAGAGGATGGAGAAGAAGAAAAAAACCAAACAGAAACCAAGAGCACAGCAGAGCCTGGCCTCTATGCCTATCTGGCATTAGCCTCCTGGAAGTCCGTTGCCCATGCGCTGGGGGAGACCCCTACCTGTAGCGCCCGCCTGGGTGATAATGGCCGACATGGGGATGGTCTTGATGATAGTGGTCGTGCCAGGCTTGGTGGTGCTGGGCGACACGCTGCTGATGCCCAGGATGGTGGGCTTACTCCCAGCCCCGCTGGCCTGTGTGGTAGTGATGATGGTGGTGGGCTTGCCATCTGCTGAGGTCACCAGCTTCAGGATGGTCCCGGCTGGCAGGGGCCCTTTGGTCTGCAAGGGAAAACAGTTGGAGGAGGCCAAGGTGGACCGACGTCAGTGCCAGGACGGAAAGTCTGGTCTGGCTACTCTCCACCACGGCCCAAGCAGCTCTCGGACTATTCTGGACCGTGGGTGACAGGTCGAGCAGTAGAACTTTCTGAGCAACACGTACTCAGGGGATCTTCTCTAGGCAGGGACGCAAGTTCTACTTGCTGGAGTTGCAGAGGCTCGGCCCCATGCACTCACCTGGATGATCTGAGTCACTGGGCCCGTAGACGCCTGGCCTGTAACTGCGGAAGTCTGAACTGGTTTAGTCTGGACCACTGACATCACTTTGCCCAGATTGGAAATCTAAACAGCAAAGGAGGGAGCAGAGAGTTATCTGGAAACCAATCAAGGGCACTGCCTGGCCTGGGGCTCTCCTGGAACGGGCCCAGGGCAGTGCCACAGCCTGGCTGCTGCCACATGCAACGGGCTGCCACTCACCAGAGCACTGCCTCCTGGGACAGAGATGGGGCTCTTCACCAGGGTGATGGTCTTGGTGACCCCGCCCACAACTGTAGTCACCACCTGGGCTTGCTGGGCCACAGTCACAGTCCCGGACTTGTGCACCGTGATGATGGGGCGAGTGGATGTGTTGGCAGCGGAGGAGACCGATGTCCCCACCTGGGCAGCTGCAGTCTTCAGCATCCGAGTGGCTGGGTTGCTCACCTGGGGGCGGGGGAGGAGAAAGATGGGTGATGGGTGGGATGTCCTGGCAGGCCTGTAGCTCAGGCTCACCTCCCGACTCCTCTTCCCCCTCTCCCCCCACACTGAAGAGCTCTGTGTGGTTGACTCAACAACCACAAGTCTAGCCTAGGGCTTCACATCCCTAAGAGTGAAAGCTTAGTCCAGGGTCCATGGCATGCACCAATTACAGACCAAGAGCCTCTGTGGGTTGGTCTAAAGCCCTGGAGAAGTGACAACTGTCAGATCATATCATTGCCTAGAAGTCTCTGGCCCTAAGGCTGTTGGTTCAAAACCAGGCCCAGGGGATGCTCACCATGACTGGCGAGGAAGCCACCTTGACAGTGGCCGGGAGGGTGGTAGTACCAGGTGTCACGGCCACGGTCTTGACGATGGTGGTGCCTGCTGGGACACTCAGCACCGTGGGCGCCGAGGAAGGAGGGATCTTCTGGGTGGCGGCGGCTGCAGCGGCCAACGCAGCCATGCCACTCATCTGTGGGTTGCTGCCGATCACCTGTGGCAGGCACGAAAGCGTGAACCAGAGGGCTGGGACCTTGGCTCTCTGCCCCAGACTTCACCAGGGAGCCTCCTTCCTGCCCAGGGCTCCTCGCAAATCTGGGCTCCTACCACCGAGCAGGCACAGTGACCCCAAGGCAGGAGTTTGTCAGCAGCTCTGGATCTTCTCCTAAGTCCAGAGTCAGAGACAGCTCCCTCTTTATGGGCCTGGGTCAACCAACCCGCCTCCCCTTAGACTCTTCCCTCAGATTTCAGAACAAGAAAGTCCACATTCAAAAGGCCCCAGATGGCAGGAGGTCCTTCTGAGGCATCAACTTGGTAATTAATATTAACTTGGCAATGCAACCTCTTCAGTGCTTCACAGGTGAGAAAGGCCCAGGATGAATGGTGCTGGAACTGGTGCGATTCTAACCCAGTCAGGGTGCTGTCAATCACTGGGAAGTCCCGCCCCACCTAGCCCAGTCTCACAACGGCTCCTCACCGTCCCCTGAGCGCTCTGGGATGGCACAACCATTCGCACGCCTGCAGGAAGGGAGGTCACAGTGACAGGGGCTTTCCCGGCTTGGCTAGCGGGTCGCATGGTGACCAAGGGGGTTCCCGTTGTAGCTTGAGGACCAGTCACTTTGAGAACAGCAGGGACACCTGACGACAGAAGGAGGTGGCCATCAGCAGAGCCCCCAGCTCCTCTGTTGGGTCCTTCAGCATTTAGACATGAACTGCTAGTGCTTCATGTCTGCTCCTTCCAAACACCCTCAAAGTGACAGTCCCCACAGGAGGGACCAAGTTTGCCCCCCAACCCTCAACCCCACCACTCAATTGCAAGCCTGCACTGACGACTGCCAGGCATGCTGCTTGGCAGCCCTTACCCAGGAGCGCACTCTCCCGGTGGCCAGTCCCAGCCCTCAAGTGCTTGTTGCCCAGCTCACCTTGTGTCCTGGCTGCAGCGGGCACGGAAATCGAGCTTCCTGGCACTGGTGGCAACACCTGGATGGTGGTGGTGGTAGGGGGCGCGGCGGCAGCCTGGGGCAGGAGTGTGATGCCTACTTGGGTCAGCGGCTGCACAGCAGGTGCGGCTGCTGCGGGGGCAGGGCTCTTGGGGGGGTTGGCAGGCACGGACGGGACTGGATTGGGTGTGGGGGAGGTGGCAGTTGCAGCCGTGGCAGGAATGTCATATTTCTGGAGCTGTAGAAGGTAACTGTCGGCGGTTGCCACTGCCCCCCAGCTCACCTCCAGGGAGTTGGTGTTGGCGCGTACCAGCTGTACCCGGGCTGGAGGCGGTGGCTTTTCTGTAAGAGGGCACAGCCAGGGCAGGGAGAAGGGGGAGGCAGAGGCTTCAGGAGTGAGCATGGCAGGCTATGCCCTCAGGCTGAGCTCCACTGTAGAGGCCCTAGGGCTGCCTCTTCCCATTGGCCTTACCTGTTTCCAGGTACCAGAGGTCCTTGCAGCAGACCTGGTTGTTCCAGGCCTTTCGGTAGCCATCACGCCCACTCCATATGTACAGGCGGGTGTTGATGGCCACGGCACAGTGGCCAGCTCGGGCTCGGGGAATATTGTCCTCCAGTGTGTCCATCAGGATGGTCTCCCAGGCCATGGTATCTGGGGAGAGCGGGAGGCGGCAGTCAGCAGGGGGCAAAGGAACCCACATCCCTACTGGCCCTTTGGCCTTTTGCTGGCAGGGATGGGGAATTAAAGCCAAGAAGGCATCAAAGATTATTAAGTTAGAAAAGAACACACCCCAAAACAACTCTGCTCAGCAGAGACCCTAACGAAGAAAGTGATAAGCCACAAACTACACACTGAGAAAACTACTTGAAACGCACAGACAAAGGTTTCACATCAAACTACACAGGAGCCTGTAGAAAGAGACAGGCAAAGAGAATGCAAGTCATGGAAAAGGCAGCGGATCTAAGAAAAATGAAGTACAATGTTCAACATGAGAGAGGTGCAAACTTAGCCCCTGAGGTGCCCAGGAGTTTGATTTCAGCGCCTGCCGCAGCTGGGGCTCAAGGTGAACCGGGGCATGGGGCTGGCACAGGGGGAGATTTAATCACTTATCAGACTTGGTGAAGAGCAAATGGTTTGACAGTTGCTAGGCACTGCTAGAGGTGTCTATGTGGGTACAGGGCAGCTTGGCAACATCCCTTTGGCAGCAAAGGGATGCTGAGGTTTTTACCCTTCAAATACACTTGCACGTGGATAGTTCTAAATACACAGTGCAAGGATACTCACGGAGCGGCGTCTGTGCAAGTCCCGACCCCAGGATAGCAATTCAAAAGAATGAGGCCGCTTGGCGTATGGGGACGGGATGGTCTCCAAGATGGAGTGAATGGAGACGGACAGGTGCAGCTCTGAGTAGAGCAGGCTGCCGTTTGGTTTCTAGAGGAACCTATAGGCATGCTGGGATATACAGAAGAGTCCCTGCAGGGTGGGTAAGAACCTACCAAAGTGTCTGCATCTGAGAAGCAGAGCGGGAAGCTCTGCACCCTGAGGCTTTGTACTTCCGTATGTCGGACCTTGTGTAGGAAGAGCCTATTCAACAAATTCGAAGAGCAGGGTCCCACCGAGCGCTCTGACCAGAGGCTACTGCTCATGGATTCTAGAGGCCTGAGCCTTAGCTTTGCTCCCTGCACACCCCACACAGCGCCGGGGCTGAGGAGGGCCAGCTCCCCGCAGCCCTTCGTAGGCCACTCCGAGCCCCAGGAGGCCATACCCAGGTTGAGACAAGCCAGTGTATTGGTGCACTTCCACTCCTTCTCGTGTGTGGCCACTTTGACGTCATCCATGACGAGAGGCACCCAGCCACCAAACACGTACATTCTGGGACAAGGGAGGCAAGAGTAGGAGACAATTGTAGAGGAGGTGCCAACCTAGAGGCCACCTCTTCCATCCAGAAAGTTCTATATACACTTGATCCCCTAGCTCTCCCCAGGAGAGCCCCCTAGGACACATGAAGCTCTCAATGTAGCCGTCTTCTGCTTGGTAGTTCAGACCTCCCAAGAACTGTGTCACCTCCACTACAAGGAACCACTGCTCAGCTCATCTCGGTCCCCATCATTCTTCCATTCCCTTTGGGACCTCAGTATGGACAAATGCACCCAGCTGCTTATATGTGGAGAATCTAGAACAGTGCGTGCCCCTCTACCCTGTGTCTTCTCTTGGTCCTCCAGGGTGGGGTGGTAATGAAAACACAGGGCTGCTGAATGCCAGCCCAGCCAGAAAGAGGCCTCCTCAGAATTGCTGGACAAAACTGCGAGCCCTTTGGGGCCAGGTATGAGGGCTGGTGTGAAGGGAAAAGCAATGGCTAGCTACTCACTTGTTGCCTATGGTTGTGGCCGAGTGGAGACTTCGAGGAAGAGGTGCCACTCCGCTGAGACTGGGCTTATTCCACGTCAGAGTCTCTGCAGAGTGACGGAAAAAGGAGGGTTACCCACACAAGGTAAGACATATGCCCTTGACCAGAGGAAGTTCCCTGGCCTCGGGGAAGGCTCTGGAAAGTGGGTGCCAACCCAGTCCAAGAATCCAATGCCTGGGCCCCCTACAGCCCATGGGAGGCCCTTGGATCAGCTTCTGGCATTTCTCAAGCTGTGTTGTGCCCATCCTAGCAATTGGCATCTCTCAGAAGATCTGCTATGGGCAGGCACTGCTCTCAAGGTTAGGGTAGGAGTAGAGAGCATAAGACATGCCACTGGGCGTCCTACTCTCCAAAAAACATGTTCATACCCACACCACCTCTACTATCTACAGACCGAGTATTGGGAAGCAGAGTGCTGCTGGGAGTTTCACTAATGAAAAAAGTGTTTCTAGCCCGGCTGGTGTTGCTCAGTTGTTGCACATCGACCTATGAACCAGGAGGTCACAGATTGATTCCTGGTCAAAGCACATGCCTGGGTTGCGGGCACGATCCCCAGTGTGGGGCATGCAGGAGGCAGCCAATCAGTGATTCTCTCTCATCATTGATGTTTCTCTCTCCCTCCCTCTCCCTTCCTCTCTGAAACCAATAAAAATACATTAAAAACAACAACAACACACTACTGTTTCTTTGGGGCACCCACGCTGATCGAATCTATCCTCCAAAGCTATGTTGCCAGCCACCTCCTCTCCTCAGCCTTCTTCAGGTCAAAAACCCACACTTCTTTCTACCACTCCAGACACCCCACCTGCTTACCAGCCTAAGTAGCCCCCAGAGGTCTCCCGGGCTCAAGACCCCTCTTAACTCGGACAGACCAGTGTGCACTGCTCCTGGTACAGGCTGAGCACTGATGAATCAGCAGGGACTAATGTCATCTAATCTAGACAATTCCATTTTGGAAAGGCCCTGACCCCCGCCGTTGATCTCCTATAAGCAGACCAACTCAGCCTTGTTCTTTCTGAAAAAAACGCCACCATCTCGGGGCAGATATGATAATCCCGAACAGGGTACTGCCTGCCCTCACCTTCCCATGATAAGGAGCCAAGCAGGACACTCTTCCTCTCTGCGGACCCCACGCTGGCTGCACAGCAGACCAGCTTTGCTCTGAGGCTACTGGAGAAGCCACACCCACATCTTACCAATATCTAGGGTCCAGAGGTCCCCCAGGCGGCAGCCGCTCATCCCTCCGTAGATCACCAGCTTGGACTTCTTGTTGTCTTTCTCAGTGTAGACCACAGCAGTGTGCGACTCCCGCGGTGGGGGCAGGACGCCATAAGTGATGGGGATGTCCCAGGCCACCACTCCGGAGCCTGGCCGTAATTCCAGGATGTATAAGTCATTCAGGTACCTGGAGAAGAAAGGTCAGCTATGGCAAGCTGTGCCAGATGGCTCACTGGCTTCTCTGAGTGAACCGAGGCTTCCTTGGGAGACAAAGGGAGCCATGGTCACATGACCAAGTTCTTCTACCCTTGTCCCCAAAGAGGGGCTGCTAGAAGTTCCTAAGGATGAACTTGAGGCCAAGAAGAGCAGCAGGGCAGGGCATGCTGGGCTGCCCTGCACACAGAGCTGGGCATTATACTAGGGCCTCTGGCATGGTATTACCTCCAGACTTTAGAAAGGCCCTTGGCCACCAGCCTTGGAAAATAAAAATAACCATCACTAACCCTACAGGCAGCAGAAGTCTGAGAAAGTGCTGGCTCTAAACTGGGTCCTAGGTGCTGAGCCGGCATGGCTTAGTGGTTGAGCACTGACCTATGAACCAGGAGGTCATGGTTCGATTCCCAATCAGGGCACTTGCCTGGGTTGTGGGCTCGATCCCCAGTGTCGGGTGTGCAAGAGGCAGTCGATCAATGACTGTTAACATGATGTTTCTATCTCTCCCTCCCTCATCTCTGAAATCAATATGTATTTTAAGAAATAATAAAATAAAATAAACTGGGTCCAAGCCGTAGGAACCAGCCCAAGGCTAGGGAGGTGTCTACCTCCTGGCTAGGCCCTTCTTCCCCAGTGCCTCCTCCTCTGGGCTGGAGACCTCAGTGCCCAAAAACTCCTTATAGGGCATCTAGTGCCACCCTCTCCTTGCACAAAGGAGAGAGACTTGTCATGGTGGGGCTGGCTGGCACGTGGGATTCCACATGAAGAGGACACAGCCTCACCTCGGAATGTTGTTCTTGGGGTCCTCGCTATCGTTGGCCAAACCCCCAAACAGGTAGCATTTGTTGCCCACAAGAGAGAAGCTGTGCCCAAGCCGAGGACACGGAGGGGGCCCGTTTTTGGGTGTCTTTGCTTTGAGTCTCTTCCACTCCCACCGACTTGCCTGCAAAATCAAGACTCGGTGATTGAGTTGGGGATGAGCCCGCCTTCTGAGCCCAAGCTATTTGTCATGTCAGGAGGAGCTGGCCAGCCCTCTTCCCCCCATCATTC